ATTTATTATAGATTCATGTAAGTGTATAATTCATAAGATCTGGTTCTTTTTGGTGTACATCCTTTCAGCCAGTGGGGGCCGATATATGGACGAGCTGACCAGATGATGTAACATGCTAAGAATACGGTTTTTAAAAAGAGCTGTAAAAAGGAACGAGTGGAGGTTTGTGCATGCATTAGTTCATGTACTGTTTATATAATGAGTAATAGTTAAATCTGTCATTCAACAGCAGCAATCTTTGTTGATATAATGATTTGGGGGTCGGTCGGGGCCACCCTGGAAATAAGTATTCTTATAATGTGCCAATTTTATTAATTTCATTTTGTTTGTGTTCTTTTTAGAGTTTTTATTGTTTTTGTCTTTGCATGTCCTCGTTTATGTTGGATTAAACCTCTTTTGTTATGTTCTATAAATATCTGGATTTGTAAATATTAATTGTTAATGTAAATAGAATAAAAATAGAATAAAATCATTGTTACATATTGATTTATCTATAGTGCATCGCAAAAAAAGTGTTTAAAAGTTTATTCCTGCATTTGAATAGTTAATGTTATATGTCTCGAATATGTTTTTCCTCTGTTCTCGCTGCTCCTCTCACATATTGTCACATATTTTAACTGTTCTTCATCCACCACTCTGATGACTCAGTGACACACTGGCACTGATGACGCTTCATGAAAAAACTCACCCACACTCACGTTTATCCACAAAGAAAATCAATCAGCCGACTTTACACCAATCAGATATTTATTTGTGTTTTATTTTCTCCTTTTTATTCTGTAACAGTAAAGGTGGTTTTTTTTGTTAATGACAGTCTGCATCAGCCAATCATCTGCAGCCTAATCTAGGCAGCTCGATGACGATTGGCTGTTTGGGCTCACTCCCACCACCCTGCCCATTTCCCTTTGTGTGCAACAACAACAACAACAGAAAGGCAGCACTTTACAGCACCCGGACACACTGTACATGACCAAACATTAACTGTAAAAAAAACATCCGTCTTAATAATGTCATTTAATCTTGCATTCGGTGAAAGTTTTCTTTTTCTTAAACCTAGAAAAATACCAACAGGGTGAAATAATTTCACTTATTCTCAGTACAGTTCTTATTGTTTTCTGAACATTAATGTTATCTAATGATATCTTGAAAAAAGACAAAGTAAGGCAGATCGATGCGGATTGAGTATTAAGAAAATGACACTTGATTTAAAAAGTATTTTTAAAAAGTTGATAACTGCTGGAAACTGGTGACATCATCTCACCCTGCGAGCATATTCTTGACACTTTAAATGACTTGACAAGAGGGAGTTTTTTAAAATTTAGCTGTGAACATGAAGCATAACAAACCTGACTCAGTTCAGTCTGAAGGTTTGAGTTTCACACTGCTGAGGACAAAATGGCTCCCTGAAAGTTTCCCTTCAGGACGTCAGGATGTCACAGAACTCAACAAAGTCCCTCTGCATGAAATTCTGACTCTGAATCAGGTCGTCTTCAGAGGGGAAATACTGCATGCTGTCCTCCTGCAGACGCAGACTGTCCCCCTGCAGACGCAGACTGTCCTCGTGCAGTACCAGGATCTGCCCTGGCGGTGTCGTTGAGCTGTGTGGGTTGGGACTGTCCAAGAGGGCTCCTCTGGCATTCTCCAGGACGCCCAGGTATGAGTCCATGTCTGTGAGCTCCATGTCGCTGTCGGAGCTGCTGCCACTGTCGCTCCCCACTGAGTCGGAGCGCATGTGCAGCATCTGATACTTCTCATGCATTAAAAACTGGTTTGTGTTCTTGGGGGCACGCATCCCCCTCGCTCTGTTTCCTTTGACGTTAACGGGCCGGAGGGACATCACCGGCCTCTGGAGGTGTAGGGGATGATGGTAATGAGGATGATGACGTTGAGGGTGGTGATTTCGCCCTCTTGGCCACCCTCCCCCTCCTGTCCTTCGCCCCTGCATGCGCCCCCTGCAGCTCTTGGACCAGCCGTGCTTCCTGCGGCTGGAAGGGTCCCTCTGCGGAGCCCCCTTTCCATCCTGCTGCTGCTGCTGCTGCTGCTGTTGCTGCTGCTGCTGCTGCTGCTGCTGGCAGCTCCTCCTGCACATCATCTCTGAGAGCATTTTTCTTGTCTTTCTTGCAGTCGCCTCCCTTCCTCCACGCTGCTCTCCTTCACATCCTCCTCCCTGCTCAGTGACCCACACAACAACAAAGAGAGGCTGGCTTCTGTTTTTCTGGCTCAGATCACAAATGACCCCTCTCTCTCTCTGAGTCTACCTTTTCACTATTCTTTCACTTTTTTTCTTAACCTCTGGCTTTGGCTGATGCATAGCCTGCTCTTCCTCCCCTTGCAGCAGCAGCTTGCCTGCTCGGCTGTCTCCCTGTCACGCCCTCCTCTGTCTCTCTAATCTCTCTTCTTGACCTCTCTGAAAGTCAAATAAGCTTTTAACAGCTCTGATCAGTGTACTAAAGTGAGCTATTGAGGGGTTTTGAGCGTCTTCTAGCTGATTTAAAGCAGTTATTTCTCAGTTATAGGCCAGCAACTATAGTGTACTCAGCTCAGAACAGCTCTGACTGTGGCTCTGCCCTCCCCTCAGAGCCTGGATAAAGAGCTGGAACGATCCATTCAGGGGTTTAACAGAAGGAGGGGATCAGGGCTCGCAGGTTTGTCGTCTGACTATTAATAACATTGTAATACGACAGATTACTATACATTATGACTCCTTCATATGTGAAGAGATATTTAAACATATATTTGGGCCTGTAAGTGCCTCAGATTGTGTGTTGTGGTTGTGATTAGCAGAAAGGTGCCCTCCCTACAGCAGGATGGTTCACTCCGCCTCGGTTTTAGCAGCTGAAATCGGATCCACAGCTGCTGCTGTTACTGCCCGCCCCCTCTGACAACAGACAGCAACAACAACCAGCAGCACTGGGGCAGGAGGCCTGTAGTAGTTACTGTAATACCACTGACAGTTGTTAGTTATTGTGTCATGCACGTACAAGTACTCAGCCCTCGACACTAAAAATACTGTCGCAGCAGAATCATTTCATCAGTTCCTTATATAAAACATTGCAAACTAAGAACTTTGTTTTCTGTTTTCAGGTCTATAAATTTAATCTGCTCCCTTAATGAAAACTCAACACAAGCTTTTAGCTACCAACTGCTACCAACGTGGCTCCAGGGATTGTAATGTCGCTCCGTCCAACACTTTGGTCCAGATTTAAATATCTAAACAAATATTTGATGGATTAAGTAGAAAGATGTTGTACAGAGATTAATGATCCAGAGACAATCCGTCCGACTGACTCTGGCGATCCACTGACTTGTCATCTAGTGCCACCACGAGTTTGATCTTAGTGAAATATCTCGACAACTAATGGATGAGTTGGCATGAAATGAAATCCTCTCAGCTTGAACTGTAATAGCTTTGTGAGCCCTTGACTTTGCATTTAGCGCCATCATCAGATCAAAATCTGTATTTGGTTCTTTGGCTTGTGGCCAAATACCTACAAAACTAATGAGATTCCCATCAGCCTCAGTTGTACTTTAAATGTTTGCGTGTTAATACTCTAAGCTAAGATGGTGAACATGGTCAACAACATGGTCAACATCCCACCTGCTAACATTTATCCAGCCTCAAAGAGCTGCTTGGCTCGTCCAACCCGAAGTAATTAGGATATTCAACTAAACAGTACAGCCCTTTAATCAATATAAAGATAATTTGTCTTTAATGTTACCTTAATTACGTTAAAAAAGCATTAAACTAGCGCTGCTTCCTGCAGCTACTATCTGCACATAGTTATCATCAGCTCAACACAACACAGACCACAATACATCAACAGTATATATAATATGACATAATGTGCCTGTATGCAGCTACACTAGTGACCCCATGTGGCTGAGCTGTGTATTACACAGAGCAGGGGGGGTCAATGTTTACTGTAATCCATCCAGCAAAATTGTTGGATGGATTACAGGCGACTGTCTATACTTAGATCTTTAACACTAATGTGCTGTGGTATAAGGATGTTAAGTTTGCACCGAGCAGTAAACACATCCAGGACATTGTGAGTTCAGAGAGCTGAGTGTATTATAATAGAGTCCTGATATAACCTGAAGAACAAAGAGATAAAACTGTGAAGGATGATCACATCAGCTGTTAACAACGCCGGTGACACAGTAATAATTACTCCGACAAACAAACAGATCATCACCATCTGTCCACAGAATACAGTTCATTTGTGTTGCCTTTGTAAGGATTCACAAATCCTCTTTTATGTTCTTTATTGATCGAACATTCAGGAACATAACGTACAGTAAACATGACAAAAGTTAAGTTAAGGTTAAACTAATTATAAGATATAATAGACGGTATGTAGGGATATATATATTATAATAATAATACATATTTATGTGGGAAGTATTTGCCCTTAAAGAGAATAAGATTGAATATACATTTTATTTTTCTTATCTTTATTCTTTGTCTTGCTGCTTTTGTTGTTTTTATCATACACCCTTCCTTTTATTCTGAATTGTGTAAATAGTGCAGCACTTTTAATGTCCTAAAGTGTGTTTTTACTGTATCTATGTTGTTTGCTGTAAAACAAATATTATTTTATCTTGTGCGACAATAAATATGTGAACTGAACTGAAAGTTATACATACTGTATATGCACAGACAGATGAAATCACAAACACCTTTCCCAAAATAAGTTTCTATATTATTTCAGAACTAAATATTTTCCAAATTAAAAGCTACAAGAGTAAAATTCATGAATAATTTAATGACACTACTGCCTAAAATATGCCTTTTTCCTCACATCTTCATTAAAAATATGTATAATTAAGTATATATATTACATAAAGACAACAATATGTAAATCCTGTACCTATATCTACCACTGTTAATAATAAATAATCATTATAAACACTTAAAATATGAGACATATTTCTATTATCGGACAGAGCTCGTTGTATAACGGTCGTTCCTGTCTTTTTACTTTCTATTTCAGTTTAATTTTGACTTTTATCGTCCGAGCAGTCTATGGACCGGGTGTGACTGCTCGTACGATGTACCTGCGACCGATAAACTTAAACATAAATAGAGTTTTTTTTTTGTTTTAAAGTGTGAAAATAAACCGTCAGGAAACTAAAGTGTGTAAATAAAGTTGTGTCGTTTTTTTTTAAAGCAGTCAGCACCATAACAAACATGGCGGCGGGAGGCGGCTAACTGACGAGAAGAAGCGAAAAAAAAAAAAACACCCTACAGCCGTTTTAATTAAGATCTGTTTGGTATTTTATTATTTTTTTTAATTTTACTTAATAACAGATAGTGTCTCCTCGGCCCCGGAGCAGGAGATGGAGCCCGCCCCGTTCCCAGAGGAGGTGTCGGAGAGGACAGTGTCGGTTGTCGGCTCGGAGCTGGTGGAGAACTACACGGTGAGCTCCTTTTAGCTTCCTGTTAGCTCGTAGCTGCCCTCAGCCCTCAGCCCTGACAGCGGGTTAATGTCGGAGACATCACTCTATCAGCGGAGACATACGCTGTTCAGTTAATATACAGGTTTATTTTTACATACATGTTTTGTGTTTTACCGCCTGAGGCTCGGTTAAAGACACCGGACAGAACCGACAGGCTAACCGCTCACTGCCACTGAGTGTTTCCTCTAACAGCTACAGACCCGATGTTTCTCTGTCAGGGGTCAAACTTTAACTCCACATGGTTGTTACTAAGCTGTGCACTGTTGGGTCTGACAGACAGTAAAGCCACTGTGGTGCCTGGAGAGGTGGGTACAGCAGGGTATGAGGAGTGGATGGAGGAAAGAATAAGGAATACTTTACTCTAAATGTATGATTATGTTGTTATCTGACTCAGGACTGATCTGAAATCTGCACCTCTCGACTCACATCTGATGTGAAAAAGAAAATGACCAGGACAATGTAGATTAATTTCAGGATATTTGGTAATTATAATCATTTTCCAGGCGTTTCCATGGCTGGAAAACTAGTCTCTAAATGTCCACATTGTCCCAGACGTTGTGGGAAGCCTGTTTGAACCGACAAAGAATATAAATGAATATAAAACCAACTGTTATTGTAGGTAATTATGCAGATTTTGCAATCAGTGCTGGCTCACTGACACAATTATGCATTTTGAGTGAGGTGTTCTTTACTCCATCCACTCATGAAACAGTGTGACGTCTTCCCCATCCTGGGAAAGAAACATTCAGCTGACAGAACAATCCTGAATGATGCACGTCAGAGAGGATTTAAAATCAACGCTGACTGAAACTGTTTTCTTTCCTCAGATTTAAACTCTTTCTCGTGGAAGAAGTTTTCATAAAGGAAAAGAAAAAACAAACAAACATTTAGGAATGATAATTTCTAGGACATCGACCTTTGATCTTACACAAAGTCCCCTCACTGGAACTGTTATGGAGCTTTTAGTCACATCTCAGTGGATGGAGCTGTCATACAGATGGTTCAAGAGTTAGTTAGACTTACTTCACCTACAGTAACAAACCTGAGACACTGCGTCATGAATACAGCATCATTTAAAAAAGGAGGGATAAAAGTAGACTCCCATTTAATACTCGGTCTACTGGTAAATTATATGACTGTTTGTGAGCAAGTGCTGTCCTGAATTATCAAGAAAAACTCCTGCAAAATTATTTTTTTCAGAAAGAGTGGGAACCCTGTGAAAGATGGCCTCTGGTGTTCTTTGATCTATTTAATTATTGGAGCTCTGCATGAAGCCCAGGAACCACATCGATCCGGGCAGGTTGTAATCAGTGTTTGTCGTTCTGCTGTGTTTCAGGTCTATATCATCGAGGTGACGGATGGAGAGCACAAATGGACCGTGAAGCATCGCTACAGTGACTTCCACGACCTCCATGAAAAGGTAAGGAGCAGGTCACCTGGTGGTCGTGTGCCTCAATCAGTAATTAATCTGCTTAGTATGATCGGTGTAATCCCCTCCAACAAATATTTATTTTGTAGATTGAGTTCAGGTAAACTAACAGCAGTGTTTGTTATTCATTGACTTGTTTAAACCGTCTATCGCTGTCTCCTTTGGGGTGTTTTCTAGGAATTGTGAACATTTGAAGAGAACATTAAAGGTTAACAGTTTATTTTCCTACTGTTGATGCAACTTTTGAATACACAACATGTGAATCACCATTTTTACTGACATTATTCTTTATCTTGCATTTTCTAACAAGCAGCCGATAAAAACTCCTCCACTCACCTGTGTGACATTATACATATTCTACTTTTTCATTCACAATCACAAAGGAACCCCACAGCTGTTGAAAGAAAACGCTCATTGTTACCGGACGCAGTTATTGCCTGGAAATCCATTATCGGAACAATAATTAATAATTCTGATTTTTTATTTATCAGAGGACAATATACCGACCACACATGTATTGTGCATCCGCTCTCAATCAATAACAATAATGCACTACGTCAGTGATTGCCCTACATTATTGCACAACTTAATAAAAAAAACGTTGACTAAAAGATGACTAATTGATTAACAATCTGCTATGTGAATGGCAATAATGTGAAATAAACATGATTTGTGTTTAATGTGCTAAAATGTAAAAAAGGCTGTTTGGACCTGCCGCAGAACAGAAAGCAGGAACTTACGATTGTGAGAAAACGTCACTGGTTTTACATTTCTCATGTACAGAAATGGAGAGAGAATGAACTAGAGAAGGTCTGCAACTAATGATTAGTCTTGGTTCATTAATAAATTGTGGGTGATGTCTTCAAAGTTTGTCTGAATAACAATCCAAATTCTGAAGATATTCAGATAACGGTGGTATAAAAACAGACAAAAAGCAGAAAATCCTCTGGAACAATATTTAATATGTTTTTGCCTTCAGCTGACGGCAGAGAAGAAGGTAGACCGACGGCTGCTTCCTCCAAAGAAGATGTTGGGGAAGAACTCGAAGAGTCTGGTGGAGCGGCGGCAGAAGGAGCTGGAGCTCTACCTGCAGACGCTGCTGCAGCAGTTCCCACAGGCCACGCCCACTCCGCTCGCCAGCTTCCTGCACTTTCACCTCTATGTAAGATCACGTCCTCTACATGTGTACAGTCACCTGTTTAGATGGTTCTAGTATTAACCGGATAGTCCTGAGTCTGCTGGTGCTTCACTTATAATAAAACAATATAATGAGAGTACTTATATGCGTGTACAGTAAAATTGTTTTGTTTTTCTGTCCAGTAGAGGTTGAAAAGTGCTTCTCCAGGCGGCTCTTAGCAGTAATTTAAGGCTTTGTGGTGTCAGTGAGCTTTTTACTCCGACTGCTTGCCATCACACTGGCTTCTTTTTACACTGAACCAAACAACGCCGACATAACACCGCCTCAGTGTGTGATTTATTTATTTTGGTAGATAGCATGCTGATGTTCTGGAAGCAAAAGAGGTGCTTTTTGTACCTGTGCTTTGTTTCCCACTGATAGTACTGACAGTAATTACTGATAATAATCCCTCAACATTAGAGGAGCTGATAGCGACGCTATTGCAGTTAGGAACCATCACAGGGAAACTTGACTTTGGTCTTGAGAAGCTGCAGCTTTTATTCACTGATAAACTGTAACTACAACTACAAGTGACAACTTCACTGCTACTACCATCGCTGCCGGCCCAGAGGCGGAACAACAATGCCCCCCCATTACGTCTTTGTACATTTTATGCAAAACGGCGAGGCGGAATAATGGTTCAACACTCCCGCCTTGAACACGCTGTGTAAAAGGGGCTACTGTGATCACATGGTGATCTCGGTACAATAACAGACCAGTGTTGTCTCAGGGTTCTGCAGAGTAAACAGCCGACAGAAAAACCTTCTCATGTGACCTAGGATGATAAACATATGACCGTCACGGACGAGTTTAAATGATCACAGAAAGCAGTTTTATCGTTGTTTATCATTCAGCTGCATTGATGCTGCATTAACACATAACAACTGTGTGATGAAAACAACCTGTGATGAGGTTGTGTGACTAACTGACTTTATATTATCCATCCTAAAATTATCCTGTTAACTCTCAACCCGCTATCTCACCCTGACAAGAACACTTTTAAAGAAAGGGAACATTGAACATCAGTAGACCAGCTGTCTGCTGAACACAAGATTTAACTAGTTTACAAACATAACTGTTTGTTAATTTATAGTTTTTATTAAACTCTTTTCCTCTTTCAGGAGATCAACGGTATCACAGCAGCACTGGCCGAGGAGTTGTTCCATAAAGGTTTGTTTCCTTTCTGACCTTTGACCTCTTTTGTCTCATCTAGTGTTTCTACAACTGTGTTAACATTTAATGACACTCCTTCAGTGCAGTGGTGTGTTTCCACTCAGTGTGGCTGCACAGGCTTTCTCCCTGGAGTCATCAGTATTTATCTGTTTAAGAGATAACGTACACTGAGTCAGAAGACTCTGAATTTGCTGTATTACTTTATTAATCAGAGAAAATACACATTAATTAACATTGTAAGGATGTAAACATGGCAGATTTAATCAAATCTGGTCGTCATCCACAGTGATTACAGTGACTCTTCGATAGCACAGTGACATGATGTGAAACATGATGACATCCATTGAAGACTTTTCAGTTGCTTAGGATCCCAAAATATTAAAATACCAGTTTTAATATCATATGATCTGTTGCAGCTGCATCAATCCAGTTTCCTCAAGAATAATTTAAGTTACATGTAATGTTTATACACCCAAATATAACTATGCTTAATCAAAGTTTTCAGTATCAGACAGCTGTGTGTTTGTGTGTTGTAGGTGAGCAGTTGCTGCAGGCTGGCGAGGTGTTTTCTCTACGTCCTCTGCAGCTTTACTCGATCTCCCAGCAGCTACGTCTGGCCAAACCGACGTGCTGTAACGGAGACGCCAAGACGGACCTGGGACACATCCTCGACTTCACCTGCAGGCTGCGATACCTCAAGGTCTCTTTATTAATCTCACGTACGCCATCGTACAGTGTGGTGTTGTGTCCCTTGTGAGGAGCAGAGTTGGTGGATTATCTCACTTGTTTTTGTCTCTGTTGGTCAGATGTCTGGTACCAGAGGTCCAGTAGGAACCAGTAACATCCAGGAGAGCAGTCTCCCTTTCGACCTGTCTGTTTTCAAATCGCTTCTGCAGATAGAGGTAACTGTCTGTCTGTGTCTCTGTCTGTCTCTCCTCTATATACTCCTGTCTGTAGATCTCTTGACTCATTCATGTCAAACACAAACCTCACAATAATCTTCAATCGGGAAGAAATGTGTCGATTGTGCTTCAGTAATGAGTCTTTAACCAGAAATGAGTTCGGATTTTAGGACTTACAGTACACTCGACTCGGCGTCAGTGAGGTTTTTGAATGAGATTTCAGCTGGATGCCTGAAATAAAGTCTGTGGTTAACACAAACTTCAGAGATTTACACATTACGTGTTGCCAACAAGACTATGGAGGTTGTCGGTGACATTAAACGTCAGCACACTGAACACGGAGACTTATCTGCTAGTTTGCCTTTACAGCCTCGTTTTGTTTATACATTAATTGTTCTAACTTAGACTTTGCAACTTGTATATTTTAATTACAAGATTTGATTTTAAGTGGGAAGTTTATTGGTGGTGAAATGATGCAACCGTGATGTAGTTTGTTTATAGCTTTTTACTTCTGGCGATGCTTCAAAAACAAAGTATCATAAACCTTTCTCTGCCACAATCAGGTTCAATGTTTCTGACATAAGCTGCATTATTGATGAGAAAGCTGGAGGTCACTGCCTGTATCTCCTGTTTGCATTTGTATAAAATGTTTCTCCTCTTGACTGAGTTGGAGAAGTTGGTGAATAGATAAAGAGATGTGATGACATGTGAAAGGCTGATGCAAGCAGACTTTTATCTTCTCCGGCTTTTCATCATTTCAGACTTTAATCAGTGAACACTGACGTTGGAGTTACTGCTTCACCTGCTGCAGACAGAGTACCTGTGTGTCTCTTCATTAAAGAGAACAAAGAACCAAAGAACAAATCAGTGTAGAAGTACTGATGGGAACACACTTATGAAGATTTTATTTTGGCTTAAAAACAAGTCACTTAAAAACAATAACAACTGTGTCTGTCTGTGTCTGTCTTCAGATCAGTGAGTGCAGCTCTCAGCAGATTCAAGGTCTGTCGTCTCTGAGGTCGAGTCTGGCAACTCTGAGTATGCACCACTCCACAGAAACTATGATGGTACAGTTTAGACTAATCTGCTCTCTATTATAAATGTTTTATGCGGTGTGTTATATGTTCTGTACTCATGTCTTTACTGTGTTATCTCTGACCGCCTTCAGTCGATTTTGGTCCCGGAGGCGAGCGAGTTCTCACAATGGGAGGCAGAGGGGGCGGAGTCTGGCTGTCCCGTCACAGCCGTCATTCCCGTGTGGAGAAACCTGACCACGTTGGACATGAGCCACAACAGCATCTGCACTATCGACAACTCAGTGGTGAGACACGCCCACCAAACCTAAACACAGTGTTTAAAAGTCAGTATGTTATTTTATTCTTTCCTCCACAGTTAAATCAAAGGAAGAAATGCTCGCTTACTCTGGTCTCTCTGTCTGTTTCACACACTATATCAGATGTCATTCATCAGGTTTTCTTTTAAGTAATGCATTGGTTTTGACAACCAACATAACAAGAAACAGAAATCCTAATTCCAAGGACCAAATTCCAAAGAGCAGGAAAGAAATCATCTGATATTGATGATTTCTTGGAATGCTTTACATCAGCTCTCTGTTTTAAGCAGACAGGAAAATCTTGGAAAAGTTGCATGAAAATAAATCTGAAAAAGCTGTTTTATTTATAGAAAAAATGATTAAATAATGATACTAAGTTTCTCATATGTACTTACACTTACTGGAGTAATTAGGAACATTTGATTAAGCAAGTCAGCTCCATAACAGTAATACAGTCTTAGTTATCTTCTGTAACATACAAAGCAGTTGTGTCAGGTGATCAATGTCTGATTTTGCTTGTGATGGTTCAATAAAAATACATGTTTGTCAAAAAAATACTCAGTGAAAGCATGTGCTGGCTCTTCTGTCTGCTCTGATCAGCTAGCTGTTGTATTAGAAGGTCAGATCACACTGTCCTTAAAATCACCTTCTCTGTCTTTACACAGAAAGAGCTGGGTATCAGTTTCTATCTGTTCACACTGAGTTTGTCTCTGTTGTAGAAACTGATTCGTAAGGTGGAGTTTCTGGATCTGAGCTACAACCAGCTGTCCACAGTGGAAAACCTCCAGGTATGTGGCAGCATGATGAAGAATACACCAGCTCTGTCAGGACAGGATTATGTTTTAGATTAATCAGTGTATCAGTTAAGAGTCCAGTTTTCCAAAACCCAATGTCAGACAAACACGTGTCATATATTCTGTCTATTGTAGGTCTCTTTTTATAACTAGTCAGTATTTCCAAGAATAATGCACAGGAAGAAACAAGTTGTTTTGGTTACAGTCGACCTAGTTCTGTTGTCGTGTCGGCACAGATGGAGAAACTAAACAAACTGGGGAGTTTAATGTGAACCCATGCTGACTGTACAGTCAAACTTAGGATCAAAAGACAGGTGGTGCTTACAGGTGAAGTTAGACACCCTTATAGATGTGTAGTTTGTCATTAACACTAATACTGAAGTAATTGTCCTGTGGTTGCAGCATCTGTACAATCTGGTGCACGTGGATCTGTCCTATAACAGCCTGAGGGTCCTGGAAGCTGCTCACACCCGTCTGGGCAACATCAAAACCCTGAGTCTGGCTGGCAACCAGCTGGAACAACTGACCGGTCTCACCAAGCTGTACTCTCTGGTCAACCTGGACCTCAGCCACAACCAGCTGGCTCAGGTAATCACACTGTGGATGTCCTGATGGTGTACTGGTCAAAGTGACAGAGGGAAAATCTTTCTTTTTCTACTTTATTGAAAGAGAGCAAAATATATTTTCAACATTATTGTTCATTTATTACTTACAAAGGGTATTTAATCTGCAATTACCAAAAAAGGAAATACTTGATTTATTGAAATTACCCACCTGTAGATATAATTGAACATCCTTATTAATTACAACAAATGTCCTTGGCTATCTGATGATGAAGATGGGATCTTTTTCTATCTTTACTTCCTCTCTACTGTTTACTCGCCAACACACACTTACAAAAAACAACTTATGGGGAAAAATAATACTCCAGAATTTAATGAGGGAGTCAGTAGAGGTTGATTTGGGTTGTTTGTGACTTGTGTGTGTGTTTCCAGTTAGAGGAGATCAGGAACATCGGCTCTCTGCCCTGTCTGGAGAAACTCAACCTGTCCAATAACCCCATGTGCATCATCCCAGACTACAGAACCAAAGTCCTGGCCCAGTTTGGAGACCGTGCAGCAGAGGTACACCAACAAAGCACCACATTGTTAATATCACTACTACTACTACTACTACTACTACTACTACTACTACTACTACTATAGAAACTGCTCATACTACTTCAGGGAAATTCAGAGACTTGTTTTCCAGTCATGGAAGCACCTGGATATCAATTAAAATGGCCAAATATCCTGGAAAATTAACTAAGTTGTCCTGGAAAATTTGAATTGTATTTTAGCCACTCACTCAGATTACGTAAACCTGGGTGTGTAATTTTGTTTTAAACTCAACAGTTGGCAGAATAATCTGTGCAGAATGAGACTTCAAGGCAGGTTTACTGGATTGAAAGCGGAATGGAAAAATGCTCTTATTATTATTTTTTATTTATATATTATTTATTAAATATTTATGTTTCTTTTATAAATTCTACTTGATTTGGGCTGTTATTTATGGGCCCTGGATAATTTAAAGTTACTGTTAGAAGAAAACTGTGGCTTCGCTCCCCGGAGACCACAGCGACTGTGGGGAGAACCACCAAGCACGCCACTGAAGCGATATAGTGTCCCATAAACGCTGACCACAATTGTGAACAAGTGCTGTCCTGTATCGTCAAGAAAATCTCCTGGAAAAGTCCTGAAAAATGATTTCTTGAAACGAGTGGGAACCCTGTACTTCTAGTAGCATTAGCATTCATTCAGCTATTATTAATACTGTTGATTCTACTGCTTTTTAAAAAAAAAACTGTGTTGACACGTTTTTTAATCTTGTGTCTCTGTGTCGTCAGGTTTGTTTGGACGGTAAAGTGACAACAGAGAAGGAGCTGGACACAGTGGAAGTGTTGAAAGCCATTCAGAAAGCCAAAGAAGTCAAAGACAGGATGAGCAGCGGCGACAAGAAGGTCTGTTCTGTTACACTGAATCTATCAGACCAGTTTATATGGTTCAACTGTCAGTATTTATGAAAGTTATATATGAACTTACAGTTTGCACTTTAAGGATTATTATTAGAACTGTTGAGAGTTTAAATAATTAACTGAGACAGCAGAACTTAAACCAAGACACGTTCTGTATCTCTTAAGAAGGATTTATCAGACAGCATTGAATATTTCAGCTTCATCAGTATCAGAGGAAGTGAACTCATGCTGTGCACTGATTGGACTCCTGAGACTTTGACCTTTTGAGCTCAAACCACTCTTGAATGTTACATCTTTGTCACAGAGCTCCCAAATAGATTAACCCCGCTCGAGTAGTTGTTAATTCTAAAACCACTACATCAACTAACTCCTAACTCTTGTAGAACAATCAGAAATCACCACAAGACAAAATCCACCGTCTAGATGTGACCAATAGTGATCCTGATCTCAAGTTAATTACTAACAGATCTCTGAAGCCTGAAGAGTGACCAGCTGTTATTCAAACACACTCTGCTAGTCACTACACATACTGCACTACACATGTGTGTAATGAGCTGCTGTTTGTTGGAGTCACAACCTGCAGATCAGCAGCTACAACTGGACACCAACAACCGAGAGATTGTGCACGTCAGCAGCAGAGTTAAGTTGTAATACAAATATAAGTATGGGCATTATTCGATATGTGAGGTTGTGATCTTACTTGTAACAATGCGCCAATGTACTTGCTCCGTGAAGTTTGTGAGTTAAAATGTGTAGAAAACATTTTGTAGACCTTTTTTGAAGAAGCTACAGTTAATTATTTAACTGTTTCTTCCTGCAGAATAATCTTGTACATTTGCTGCTTGTTGGTCATTATCAGAGTATCCAGAATAACCAAGATTAATTTTAATGTGTGACTGTGCAGGAAGTTGATATCCACATTCTTAGTCCTGCCTGTAAAGCTTTGATTGGCTCAGTTGTTTTTCCCACGGGAGAATCAATAAGTCAATAAGCACAACATCCGACATATTTGAATCACTGAATAAATCAGAGATGTGTGTGTGTGTGGCCTTTCAGAGCTTCAGAACCAGGCTAGGCTTTTATTTATTATTAATGAAATGTGTGTGTACTCACCAGTGATGTTTTTTCTTAGATAAACGTATAAGGAGGCCTGATTATTCTTGCTTTTGTAACATAAAAATAGGCTTAGCAGAAGCTCATTACTGAGTCTGTTTGGTTTTAATCTAAAGACGTTGTATGTATAGTTTGACTACCATACAGAGTAAATAATCTACATGTTGCTCCACCTTTCAGACAGAATGTTTAAAAGTAAAAGTGCCTTGATGCTGAAGGCTGGACACCCACACAGGAAGCGATCGTAGTCTTTCAGGGCAGTGTAATAATATATTCTGAACACAAACCTTTACAAGCTCTTTCTGCAGAAGGAAACTATCGATCACAAGGTTCACGAAAGCAGAATATTGATTGTAGGTTGTTCACAGACTTCTACACATTTACAGCTTCAAAGAAAAACTGCAAAAGCTTTTCAGGGACATCGGAAGGTTATGTTTAAACTTTGAGCACGCAGATTTACCTCAACCTCATACAACTCGTACAACCAGAGCAGAGCTGGACTAATGCAGCTGCTACACATCAGTCTTAATAAACTGACTGTTGCTCTGCTGCTGATGGAGCGGCCGGTTGCAGGTTTTAGGATGTGATCTGGTTGATGATGATGAGGTGACTGCTGCTCACTGAAGGCTTCCTCCTCTCTGTCCTCTCGTCAGATCAGTGAGGAGACCAGGCTGTCTGCCGCTGCACCTCCTCACCTCTCCTCCTCCTCTCCCCCCTCCTCCTCCTCCTCCTCCTCCTGCTGCTCTTCTGCTGTTGCTCCTCCTGCTGTCACCTCCTCCTCTTCCTCTTCCTCCTCCTCCTCTTCCTGTCCGGCCCAGCAGGCTGCCTGCCCCAGCCAAGGTAATCATGTATGTATCAGGCTGTGCAGGTCTGAGGGGAGGGTGGGGGGACGGTGGTTTTTATTTCTGCTGTAAGGCAGCGGCCAGACAGACAAATATGTTTCTCTGCTCTTTGTTGATTCCCAAAAAAACAACAGCTGACTGCGGATGATGTGGCTGCAGCTAGTATTGATTTTAATTATTGATTAATCTGCCAGTTGTTTAGTCAGAAAATGGTGAAAAAGACTCCAAAGAGTCCAAGTTGAGATTACATCGCTCTCTCCGTCTCTTTCCTAAATGCTCTCAGTCTGTGTGGTGAGCTGCAGGTCTGTGTGTGTCTGTCTGATGGAGGGCAGTGCTGAGGCAAACACACTCAAACACTCACACACACACAACACACACACACACTCACAAACTCACACACTCACACACTATCATACACACTATAACACAGCAGATGGCAATGTGGTTCCTTCCCCCAGGACTTTGCGGAGGGGTGGCCTTGTTTATTTGTTGTGCTTTAGAACATAAACAAAATCCGAAAATAACTTTCTATAATTCACTGGTTTACCTTCTCTCTCTCCACATCGACCCCCTCACTCTCTCTCTCCCAACTTTGAATTCTGTGTTCTACAAACGGCAACCACAAATCCTACTTATCCTGCCTTTACTTAACAAGAAAAGACTAACTCAATCTGATGAATCACTTTATTCAAATTACGGATTTTATTTTTGTTTATGTTTGTTTTCAGGGGGTTGGAGTCATAAAATGTGACGACAGACATTTAAAGCTTTGTTGGAAAACCTAAATAGAAGCTTTAAATGTAAAGAAAAAAGACATTTGTTACATCAGTTAAAGATATTAAACAGAGAAAGGCAGTAAATCTGCAAATTGTTGGAACTAGAGAATAGTTGGTGTTTTGACTTAATGAGCGACTGAAACGATAAATTCAATGATCAAAACTGTTTAAATTAATTTTTTTAATTGATTTCCTGTTGGTCAACCAATCGATGAATTGACTTACTCATTTCATATATTCTATAGCTTTCTATTTAAATGTAATTATTAGGATTTACAACTTTAATAACGTTGTCCTAATGTGTGTTCCTTTGTACAACTACTTCACAGATAGCTAACAGTGAAATAGCTTAGTGAAAGTCAGAAGCTTAATCACAGTATTTTTATTTCCTTCCACTCATTATGCGCCTATGGATGTGCTCAGCCTAGTTTAGCACAAAGACAGGAAACGGGGGGAATCTGCGAACGTAGCTCCATCAATATGAAACAAATCCACCTTCCAAAGCAGTCTGAGTTATGTTGTGTATTTATTATTGAATGTGTGTAGAAACGTGAAAACATAAAATCTGTCTGGCTGCTGCTTTCCTTAAAGACAAAGTTTTGTTTAATTCTCACTGATTTTGTCTTTTGTCTTCAGATAACAATGTTTAGCACTCCAGTGGCTAACACTTTTTTCCATTGCAGTTATGTGAGACTCTTGAGTCTGGTTGGGTACAGTGTGGGACTCTGTGGTTTTCCTCTTGTGATATTTATCTTATGAATGTTACTTAGAGCTGTAAATGCACCAGGAACTGTTAACGCAGGGCGTCACTCAGAGGTTACCTGTTGAAGCTAACCTGCTGCTATCACTCCTGATAGAGAGCGTCTTCTTTAACCTCTAAACCAGATCTCTCAGCTTTATATTTCCTGTTGTAGATGCTTTGCTTCTTGCTCAGACTGAGAGAAAAACAGCCTCTTCCACTGTTTTATAACTTATAAATTGTGATCAGTTGCCTGTTGATTCAGCTGATGACATTTATTCATCACGCAGGTTGCACCAGCCTCATATTGTAGCTGTAGTTATATTTACACAACTAACTATTATAATACACAGAAACACTGCGACTGTAAAGTGGCCACAGAAATGTGTTTTTTAAGTGTGTTTTTAGATGTTTGCAGCTGTACAAGTTGTTGTAATTTGGCTACTCTCTTAAATCAACATGTTTCTTCAATCGATCTCACAGACATTGAGTGGCTGCCAGCAACCACCACTGCCACGGCTTCTTTATCAACAGAAAATTGCATTACAGGACGGATACATTAGTCTTTGCTAATTAGTTTACAGCTAAATAATCCAAGATCAAGATGTTTAACAGAAGAATGAATCTGATTATCAGACTACAAGTAGAGCCAACTGATGCTTTACTAAGACAACTGATCCTCCTATAAAAGCACTGCAACTCTGATATTATTGGAAAATTGTACGTCAGCTGCATCAGCTCTGGAAGTAGGGATGCTGAAGGAGCTCCGGTACCACCTAAAGTCTGGCATAATGAAAACCATTAGTTCATAAAATGTTTCATTAACTAGAAATATTAGTACAGAAATATCAAATATATTTTTGAGGTCATTTAGAAAAACCATGTCTTCATTTCTTCTAGATTTAGTTTATTGTTTATTTCTGAGCTGTTAGACACAGTTATGGATTTACAAACAGCTGGTGGAACACGACAGGAGAATAATTATTCAGAGACTGATATTCACCGATGTTTGACTCGAGGCTGTGTGACACCCTGCTCATTGCTCATTAACCTCCGTCTGTGACACTAATATTTGTTCTGGCTTAGTACAGGCTGCACACTGCGTCAGTGTCTGAATCTGAAACAGTAAGAACCAAACGCATGTCCGTACTTTGCTATGTTTGACTGTTGTGGCATTAATGTGTTGTGTTTTTTAGATTTGAAATACCTGCTGTCCATTACCTCTGATAACATATTTCTGTATGCATGAATATGTTCTCAACTGGAGCTTAGAGCAGTCAGTGTTGATCAATTTTAAGCCTCTTAGGTCGGCTTTAAACCAACAATAGATTCATCTGTTATTATTTTCTCCCAACACTTCAAAACATAAAGATTGTTGTCACATCAGTCAAACTTTGCTCCTCGCCGTCAGCGCCGCTCATCCGTTTGGTTTCCGTTTCAGAAGTGACGAGCAGAGAAGAAGCCGCAGTTCCCCCCAGTGTCCTCCCTCCTGTGGACGCTGCACCTCCCCCCGCAAGCTTTAACACCAATACAAACCTCCTGTCTGCTGACCCCGCCCAGGTCAGAGACACACACACACACACACACACACACACACACACACACACCTACACCTGAAACACCGGGGAGGGCAGGTGTCTGTTACCTTGACAACCAATAGGATAGCGGTTGGATGGGAGGAGGGGAGCGTCGGGGACTGTTGAGAAATGTGTAAAAGATTTTATGTAAAAGGAGCTCCCGACGTGTTCAACATAATCTGCTACCATAGTCACTGTGAGCATGTTAGCATGCTAATGTTAGCATTTAGCTCAGATAACAGATGTTCCTGATGTTGCTTCATGTGTTTGTCTGCAGGTACAACAACCTGCTGTCAGTCTGTCTGAACACACACACGGTGGAGCTCCCACAAGGGCTACTACTACTACTACTACTACTACTACGACTCCTACTATTACTGTCTGGTCAGTAATTTACAGTTTTACAACTATAATATAAAGCAGCAACACTAAATAAATCTCTGGAAGCTTTTACTTTAAATGCTTTTTTCATTGCTGTTATACTACCGTTATAGAGTCACTGGAATGCTTTTAATGTGAATAATCTGTGCTGGATGGGGTGCCCTGGTAGCTCACCTGGTGGAGCTGGCACCCCATGCACAGAGGCCGAGTCCTTTGATTCAGTGGCTGTGGGTTCAACTCCGACCTGTGGCCCGTTGCTACGTGTCATCCCCTCTCTCTCTCTCTCTCTCTCTCTCTCTCTCTCTCTCTCTCTCTCTCTCTCTCTCTCTCTCTCTCTCTCTCTCTCTCTCTCTCTCTCTCTCTCCCTTTCCTGTCACTCTACAGCTATCTTTATCAATTAACAGCAACAAAAGCCACAAAGAATATTAAGAAAGAAAAGGAAATTATGAGTTTCACCGTGTTGAGGACGATAGCTTAACAGCAGTAAAACAAGTGATTCTACAGTTGGTTAAATGATGGCGGGCGAGTGTTTCTTCTGTGCTCATTACATCACAGACAGTTAGAAATAAATCTGCATCCTTCCCTCCTCTCTCCTCCAGTTGTGACTGCTCCTCTTCCTCCTCCAGACCAGTTGAAACCACTTGCTTCTCCTGCAGCACAGCCTGGTGTCCCCTCCTTCCTACTCAGCTGCTCTCCCTCTCCTCCCACAACAAAGACTTCATTACCCAGCTCTCCCATCTTCTCAGCTCCACCCTGGAGGAGCAGAAGAGCAAGACAAAGGAGGACGAAGAGAAGGCGGAGGAGGAGGAGGAGGAGGAAGAGAAGATATCTGAGTCCAGAGAGGTTCTTCAGTCCCGTGTCGAGGGCACCGAGGTGGGAAGTCCCAGGTAATTTAACCAGCAACCTTCTCTCACTGGTTCCTGTGATTCCCTTAAAGTTTTTCTTCTTGTGGGATCTTTGATGTTTCAGAATTCCCAATGATTTCTGGGATACCCTAAAGGTCCCACTGGTTTCTTAGACATTCCTGCTGGTTTGGGGGATTTTACAGATTTCCAGTGGTTTCTGGTAAAATGTCGAGTGTTGGGGTTCCCGGATAGCTCACCAGTTAGAGTCCCTATCAGTTGAATACAAGCCCCACTGGTTTCTGTAATTCCCGTAAGTGCTTGCTTTTTTGTGGGATTCACAAATTTTCTCAGGGGTGTCTGACATCCTCTGTTATTCCCAGTGGCACCTGGGATCTGTTACGGACATTGCTGTGTTAAAATGTGCTTGTATGCGGTATAATGCATTCAAATATGATCTTAGAGTGATTGTTGTGTAACATAAGTAGTTACCATGGAAGCATATAAGCTTGGAGGAATACTGTGTTTCTTCTGTGTCTGTGTAGCATGAGAGCACATGAGTAACTGGAGGAGGAGAATGCGAGCAAAAATATCATCCAAGAGGAATCTGTTCTGAGGTTCCTTCTAGTTTCTTACATTCCTGCTGTTTTGGGGGGATTTGACTGGTTTCCCTTAACGTCCTTCTGGTTTTGGTGATTCCCATAAATTCCTGATGGTTCCTGGGTTTCTCAGTTGTTCCCACTGGTTTCTGAGATTCCCAAGAGGTTCTTAAGAGTGCTTAAAATACCCAGTAGTTTGTTAGGATCCCCTAATAGTTAGACTGGTTTTTGAGGTCCCTGAAATACTGGTTTCCTAAACAGTTTCTGGGCTTCTGATATCCCCTGTATAAACACTTAAATAATATAAAAGTACAAAAGGATGATTCTTGATTCATTCGCTGTTTTATGCTCATTATTCCAGTCCAGGCTCGAGGGACGGATACTTTGAGATGGGTCTGGATGACTCTGTTGAGGAGTCGGTCTGCTCCTCTTCCACGTCACCTGCTGTTCCTCCTGCAGAAGAGCCCGGTGGCCACCAGGGGGAGCTGTGTGACGAGGAGGAGGTGCAGGTCAGCAGGATTCTGTGGTGCTACTGTCTTCAGGTGAAGGAGGAGGTGGAGCAGAAGGAGGCGTGTCTGGTGCTGACGGACCGGCTGTTGGGCCTGCTGTACCTACCAGATGATTTCACGTGGACCAATCATGACGCAGGTGAACTTTGTTTGTAGGTTTTTTACAAACAAATACAGAAACTGTGGTTGCAACTCCTGTTTGGCATATTTATTTGTATGAATTGTGTTTTGCTACCCATCTTAGAATTAAGTAATTCAGTAATTAATAATTCAGTAGTCTTAAAAGTAATTCAGTAATTTGAGGTCTCTCTTATGTCTCTGCTGTAAAAAACCTGGAACCTCCTTATGTCTGAGGCAGATAGTTATCCAGTTAATCCTGCTTCATGAGACTTTTGTTCATGGAAGGATAACAAAAATGAAATGCTCTGAAATATTTCTATCTAGTCCAAAATGAAAAGGCTTGTTCTTCAAACCAACAGTCAGACAGATGCATCACCAGACCTAAAGTGAAACTGAGCTCGACTTGTGTTCTAGTTAGTTAAATCTAGTTACCTTTCCTTAAAAGTGGAGTATAGACAACAATGGAGACACTGAACTCAACAACAGACAGAACAGAGGAAACGTGTAATAGAAAATTATGATGTGACTGTCGGCCTACAGACACACCACACCAAGATCTGTGACTGACAAACTTACCACGATGTTGCTCTGGTAGCTATGACGACCTGCAAGCCACCGGTCACATGCAGGTTGATCCTAAATCATATTTAATTGGATTTATGTAAATCTTTGACAGAAACCAAGAAATAACTGAACAATTAATACAAAGACACTTCTTTTTCTTCACAAAGCTGACAATAATCTTTTGCCTTAAAGTCAAAATTAATCTACCATGGCTGCTAATTAACAGTCAAATCATAATACTGACCTATAACTTGTTGGCCAGTAAAAGTATGTTATACCAGTTATAACCGAGTGTGTTAAATAAAAAAAAATAAACCTTCAGTAGAAATAAATCCATCAAGCCAACATTTGGATGATTTTGCTGCGTGCTGAAGAGCGATCTGTTCTCCTCTTCTCAGACCAGAAGCAGAGTCCGTCTGTGGAGGAGGTGCTGTCCAGCCTGCAGGTGGACCTCCTGCTGCCGTACTCCCGGCTCCTGCTCTCCTCCCAAGTCGAGCTCCCCGACTCCTGCCTCGCCTTCGGCCTCAAAGCCGGTTCGACCCGCTGGTACATCTTCTCCGAGGCAGAGGGGCTTCGGCAGACCAGGACCGAGCTGACGGTGCTGATCCAGGTCAGAGAGCAGCACATGAGCCTCTTAGGGTCCCTATAATCAAAGAACAGCTTCTACTTTTACATCACTGTTGATTTCTGATTGCATGAGTTTTTGTTTCATCTTAGGTGTTAAATCAAGGTATGTTTTAAATATGACACATTTAAGAGCAGTGCCGTACTTTATTGTCCCAAAAAAGAAGTTTAATTTGCAGACAGCATTTCATTAAAGACATAAAATCAACACAGTTCAGTCTATAATTCGTCAAACAGCTTTAATTTCTGTATTATTATGTAGAAAACCTCCTCATTTGTGTTCCAGGCTGCAGGATCTCAGACTGACCCGGAGCCCTCCAACACTCCTCAGCTCCTCCCTCGCTCGCTCATCAACTCCTGGGAGCTGGAGGAGAGTCAGGGAGCCCAGGGAGGCTATCCTGCCCACCTTCTTACCTCCTCGTCTTCCTCCTCCTCTGCCCCGGACGCCCACCCCCTCCTGTCAGACATTTTATCCAAGACGGAGGAGATCGGCCTCCCCTCTCTCCTCTTTCTCACCCATCGACACCTCTGGGTGCTGAAGGTGAACTTCAGAGAGCTGGCAGAAAGAGAAGGGAGGAGCAGTGACCTTCATAACTCCTCCTCCTCCTCTTCCTCCTCGTCTTCCTCCTCCTCCTGGTGCAAGCTGGTCCGCGTGCCCCTCGGCTCCGTGGTGCTTCACCCGAGAGAGAGCGCTTCTCTGGTCGGGGACAGAACCAGCGACACCTCCTGCCCCGACCCAAAACACCACCACAGGTACAGAGGCTGTGACCGGATGAATGGATGTTCTAACTTTTACTTTTTTCGGCTAGCTAGTCTGATTTGATTTGACGACCCTCCTTCTCCACCTATAAATGAATTAAGCTGGAAGATCAGGGCCCTTCTGTCACACACCATTTTACATTTCAAGATTTACAGTTGCCATTCAGTACTGACTTTGCTTTGGGTTTATTAGTTTATCCTTAACATGCACAATTATTTAATCAATATATAACAATTTTTTATTGATCAGGTTTTCTAAAGGTTTGTAATTGCTCTGGTGGCACACAAAGGTTAATCATTGTTTGCTTTATTCTTCAGTTTCCTTGCTCTTAAGTATTGTAGTTATCTGTATTTTAACCATCATGTTGTCCCTAGGAGGAGTCACACTGTGGAGCTGCTGCTGGGCGGCCAGAGGCTGCTGCTGCTCTTCCCTCTGGCCCAGGACAGAAGCTCCTTTCTCGGGGAGCTGAGTCAGCGGAGAGCCTCTCTGGAGGGGCTGAAGATGGTGGCCCTGCCCCGGCTCTGCACGCCCAGTCCGCACCAAGGGCAAGGTGAAGACCAACTACCTGCTCAAACACGCACACCAAAAAAGGAAATTCCCCTTGAGGCTGAATTCTAATTTAGTTTGACCCTCGCTTGTTTCTTCTCTCAGTTTGTTTCACACCTCCTTGTTGTTGTGTTTTCAGGCCGTTACAGATCCAGAGACCAGTGCTGTTGTACCAAAGCCAGAAAATCACACAGCACCAGCAGGTAGACTTCTGAAGCACTTCTGTTTATATTCTGTTAACATATATAACTTTCTCTCCATGTAACCACAGAATTCTTCTTCTTCTTATGTCTGCATTTACAGCTGCATGCTAATATCATGCTTGTGCTTTGATTAAAGTCACACAGTGTGCTAATACTGTAAACACAATGTACTTATCTTATCAGGGCACCTATTTATCAGAGGGTGTATACGACATTTATATATCTAAAACAAACCGTGATGCAGAGTAAATGCTGATGGACGTCAACAAAGCTGTAACTTCAGCACTTAATCAGTCCGCTGATGTTATCTCTTCACAGATATACCAGTGTCAACTATATGTTACGTTATAAGTAAACATCAGAGATATGTTTGAGGTAATATAAAGGAGAACAGATTTAGTTTATAGTACATATCAGTATCAGTATCGACGAATATAAGGCTCTAATTATCACTTCAGAGGATTTATTGTTTAACTTCTACTGGAGCCATTATACGACTAACTGGTGTTCATTTTATTCCAGCTGTGATTTGTTCCACCGTTGTTGTTGTTATATTTTGAATCTGGGAACTGCAGTATCTGTCAACACCACACTAAAAATAAAAGCTCAATAATTATAGTAGCTGGGACACTAATTAATCTCCTTGATTGGAAGACCTGAAAATCAACAATCATTCATCAAACATCAGGGAGCACAGCGTGTCATCTTCTTTTCCCACAGCAGCTCTGCGGCAAGCATGAGAGATTACTTAATCTTTTCCTCCCTTTTCCTCCTCAGCTGCGACTCATCCCGCCTCCAAGTGGAGGAGAACCAGCCGTCCCCCCACCTCACCCCAGGTCTCTCACCGGGACTGAAACTCCTGGCGGGGCTTGGAGGACCGCAACTGCTAGCCTACTTCCACAGATATATAGCGATGGTAGGACACACACACACACACACACACACACAAACACACACACACACACACACACACACACACAAACACACACACACACACACACACACACACACACACACTCCAATGCTGCATTATGTCATAGACCCATCTGATTTATGTTTTGGTGCAAGATAAGTACATCATAGTTGTTTTAAGATTTTAATTTTACTAGGTTTGCAACTAACAATACATTTAATGACTGATTTATGTTCCCAGAGCCAAAAGTGACATCATAAAATGTTAATTAGTGCAAAACTAGAAGAGTCAGAACTATAATAAGACCGACTAAAGTAGTTTCCAATTAATTTTTATCTTGATCGACTGATCATTTCGGCTCTAAACTTTAGGTTTTTCCAACTTTGCCTTTAGTTCGTTCAGCAGAGCCCAAGATAAAGACAGCATGTAGAGTCGGGTTGTGACACAATAGTCACTAAACATTCACTCCTTACAGACATAAGAGAAATCATTCGATGACTGAAGTCAGTTTCTTTTTTGAGGATTTTTTTTCTGTCCCAGTTCAAAGAAAGATTGTTCTCCCACAACATCGATCACTTTTAATTTCAGGAAAATTCTTCGGTCAGTGTTTGTTATATTATATATTCTTGTGCTTTCTGTTAAATCAGTCTGAGGCAGAGGAGGTGAGACAGGTCCTGTGGCTGTCTGTGGTTCTCTACAAGTCTCCTGAGTCCGAGCTCACCTGCTGTCTGCTGCTCTCCACCGATACAATCTACTTCCTGTTGGAAGACTCCGCCTCCACGCTCGGTCATCACTCAGGTAGGATGAACTGACATGATCGGCTCAGTCAGAGTGTGAAAAGATTACATTTAAAATAGCATCATGTAATCAGAGAATAATACTGCTCCTGTTGCCATGGATACATTCCTTATACCCACTAAGATGGTAACTGTATAGACATTCACATACCAAACCTGGTGTGTGAGTGTTGCATACAAAATACCAACTGCTGGGGCTGTAGACTTTTGTTAAGTCTCTTCTTTGTATCTCTCTCTGTCTGTCTCTCTCTCTGTCCGTCTCTCTGTCCGTCTGTCTCTCTGTCTGTCTCTCTCTGGCAGTGTTGGACGTAATGGACTCTGGAGATCCGGACGTCTGTCTGTGCTGCTGTCTGTCCATCAGACTGTCTGAGCTGCTGTCTGTCAATGTGGGACTGTTCGACCAGTACTTCAGAGTCGTAGGTCAGTGGATGTGAACGCACTTGGTGTTTGCAGAGGTCACACAAACTCTGTGTAATATCACTCTGTGTCACTCTCTGAACTATCCATAGATCCTCTCTCTCTCTCTCTCGTTCTCCCCTGTGTTTGAAGGTCGTTCGGCCGATCACATCGTGTGCTGTCTCAGCAGGGACAGTTACGGGACGGGCGTCTTCCTTCAGGAACTGATGTCGGCTCTCAGCCTGCAGCAGCAGCTTCCTCCTCCAGAACCATCAGATCAGGACTTCTACTCCCAGTTCACCAACACAAACACGGGTAACAACGCAGGGATACAACGCTCTGCCCTCCACATACATGACTCTAAGAGACTTAGTATGTTTCAGACTTCTTTGAGCTTCTTATTATGACTCTGTCACGGTGTTAATATCATCAAACATGTTACACAAGCCGTTACAAATTCCTGAGGGTTAAAGTGGGCTTCTTGAACACTTTTAGGTCTGACATACTCTAAAATACACGATATTAACGGACATGAAGAAACATGCTAGCCTAACAATATTAAGGTTAAACCCATAATGCTACTGTCTATTAATGTAACAGGAAGAAAGAGAACAGAGAGTCCTCAAATAATAATGCGACCCACCTTCTAAAAACATTGACTTTCATGGTTTATGGCATCGTAGCCCTAATTATATGTCTGCAAAGTTAGAATAAATTAAAGTTTTTTTCTCCCACATTGAGCACAGACTTAACTGCAAGAGCAGCACTGAGGCTGTGTATAAGAAGGGGGATGAGCAGACTCTATTTCCAGAGGAAGCTGAGATCTTTCAATGTGAGCAGCGCAATGGTGGAAGTCTTCTCTCAGTCTGTTGGCAACATCAACAGACTTAATAAACAGATTAATGCTGCCTCCGTAATTTGTTGCAAAACCAGATACCTTTGAAGTTGTGGTGGAGAAGACACGAACTGTTAGTCCATTTTGGATAATCCTGCCCACCACAGTGGAATACTTTCTCTAACAGGCTGTTTCTGTTTCGCTCTCACAAGGACCGATATAGGAAATCTGACCAACCTAAATAAATAGATCTACAACACCTCACTTCTGTCTTTGTCTGCTCCTTCTGTTAATTTGCACAAACTCCTTCTCTACCTCCATACGTCTTTGCACACTTGTCTGATGTGTATAGTATTTTATTTTATGTTTATATTTTATTATATTTATATTGTATTGTAGTATATCCGCAATGTCTGGATATCTCGCTGCTTTAACAAAATAATTTTCCATCTTGGAATCAATAAAGTGCATCAATCAATCAATCTCTACATGTATCTATCTGAGCTGGTGTTAACTTGACAATGGTAACAGATGGGATTTGTCTCCCCCTGCAGGTAAGATGCAGAACTACGAGCTGGTCCACAGCAGCAGGGTGAAGTTTATTTATCCCAGTGAAGAAGAGATGGGAGACCTGACCTTCATCGTGGCAGAGAGGAAGACTCCGGCCAGCGCAGCGTCCTCGTCCTCACGCTCCTTCAACGTCCTGCTGTACCTGCTGGTCTTCCAGGTAAGAATTTTAATTGTAGTTTGTGATTTTAGAGGAGTTAAACGTGGTGTATCCGTCCGCCCAGTGCTTCAGTGGCAACCTCAGTGTGACGACAACACGACAGGAAGCTGCACACGCTGACTGCGACCAGCTGTTCACATAGTTCCTGCACATAACTGGAAACATACACTGTGTTTTCTACATTATAACGCTTTAAATGTGTCAGTAGGTGGATATTTGAAATTTTGACGGAGCAACAAGAATATTTCTCAAAATGTTGAAGAATTTATTTAAAGCAGCTATAATTAATATTTTAATATTGGTAATGGATCACAACCACTCACCTGACTGAAGTTCCCCTCAAGCCTACAGAGCTTTATATTGTCTTAAGTCTCTTTAACTTCACTGTTTTCATTCACTCTCACAGATCTCATAGCGACGTTCTTTGTTGTGGAACATTCAGCAGATAAGCAGCACGACTCCGAATGAATGCTAATGTGGCTCCGTGTCTGCTGAATCTATAAATGGGAAACTGTTTGCTAACAAGTGTTCACAGCCTTTGTCCACTTCCCCCTAAGTGGAATCGGGTTTTAAAATCGTTGTAATTCACCTCTAACTATTACCTCCACCCATTTTTTTTGTAAAATAAGTTTTAATATAAACAATATCTGCAGATCTACATGCCGTGTTGATACAATTAGACTTACTAAGAAATTAAAGCTGAAGGTGTGTGTGCAGAAAGGGAAAATAACATAATATCTAGAATGGGCAGTATACAGTAATAAATATATATATAATGGATTTTATATTTCCAGTCTCTGTATTGGCCTGCTCAATAATCATTATTCTTTTTACCTGCTCTTTGTCCCTTTCCTTCAGGTCCAGGTCCCCAGCAGTCTGCCCAGCCAAGTCTCCACTCTCTCAGGACTCTCCTCTGGTTCAGGCTCCGCCTCATCTCCTGTCCTCCAGCCCAGGACTTTGATCCTAACCAGCACCGACGTGTTCCTGTTGGATGAGGACTACGTCAGCTACCCTCTGCCCGACTTCGCCAAAGAACCTCCCTCCAGGTGAGGACACAGGAAGCCCCGCCCTCACTGTAACCACAACATGTCAACACCTTTTTTGTTTTTCTTTGTCTTCATCCAGACGCTGAAGAACAGAATTATTTACAGTGACTGCCTTCGGGTTTGGAAGGCATAAAAAAATTAGTGAAACATCAGCTTCCCTGAACGCAATTTGGAGGCGAGTTAAAACAAAAAAGAGAAGAAGCTGTTTCCTCGTGTTTGTGCTCGTCTGCTGCAGGAAAAGAGAAGGAAGAGGAGACTCTGACTGGCAGGCGAAATAATGTGTGTGACGTGTCGACAGTTCGGTCTCAGATTCTGATGGTGTCACAGGGAACACAGGGCACTCAAGAAAACAACAGCTGCAATCAATATTCATTGAGGCAAAAGCAGAGAGGCAGAACATCGAATCAGTCGCTGTGAGGAGAATCAGGAGACTGTGACTGAGCTAAAAAAAATCAGTGTCTTTATTACCAACTCACCGATAGCTCAAAGACATGTTTGGATCAATCGGGGCTCAGTGTGGGAGATATAATTTAAAGAGATGTCTACAACCTTAATTATTGACTAGTTGTTTTTTGTAGGATTATTTTTGGAGCTTTTTTTATTGCCTTTATTAGATGGTAGCAGCTGAAGAGAGACAAAGGGAGAGATGACAGCAAGGACTCAGCCTTTATACATGGGGTGCATGCTCTAGCACAGCCCACTAGGGGTCGCCAAAGCTTCACCGGCGGTAGCGATTCCTTACTGATTTAAAGGCATTTAGGGAAAAATATACACAGCAGACCTTTATATCATCGTTCTGCATTAAAAAAGTACACAGTTCAAACAGCTAACAAGCATCAGGGGGAAGAATTTGTCAAAAAAGAAGCCTATTAAATCTAAGATTGTTAAAAAATATTAAAAAAAAACATAATACAGACAGAGAATTGTATAAAAAGTTCCTGATCAATACAACTGCTGCGGTTCTTGTGTTCACTTGTTCAGTTTGTCAGTTATGTAATGCATTTACTATAATATGAAATGTAATCTAGTCAGGGGTTGTGAGTCACTGATACAAAAGGGGTCTCTTAAGATAAAAGCTGCTCTAGGAGGTGAGCTAACAGGGCGCCCCTTTATCTCCACACAGGATTCAGATGCAGTGAGCCTACATTAAAACGTATTAACCTCTGTATTAAGAAATGATCTGTCTGTATTCAGATTTCCTTTTAATAGTTTCTTATAATACTTTGAATGGTGTCCCATCGTGTTCGCTGATAATCAGCCTCATTACTCAGTCTGACGCTGTGTTTATGTCGGCTGTTTCCTGTATGTGAGTTGGAATATGTAGCTCTAACCAATCAGTGGTGAGTCCTGTATCTGTCTCTTGTTGATTTTAATTGTTAATTCAATAAGTCGACTTAAAACAACAGGTACAGCTGCGTCCGTTTAATCCGCATTTTCTGTAAGATAATGTGCACATTCTTAAATGTCCAGTGTTAAACATTTAGGAGGGTCTTTCTTTTTCAGAAATGGAATATAACATTCAGTCATTAGTGTATAATGACTATATATATATATATATAATAATCACCTGAAAATAAGCCCAGAACAGACAAACCACACACTGGCTCTAGGTAGGCTGCTTCGTGTTTTTCGTGCATTTAACAGCAACCATAACTTCTCCTTTATGCTTTGAAAGGGAGGGTGAAGCGAGGGGGTTGTATTCTGTAACTACACCACTAGATGTCGCTAAATCCTTCCCACTGGAGCTTTTTTAATGCTGCTTACAAAGCTCTGATTGGCTCAGTACAACTAGTGAAACGAGCATTAAAGAACACAAAACCAGACCTGTGCTGATCAGATATGTGTGTTTATATACGAGCCACATTTAGTTCTTTAAATAAAACGTTTGAAACTCTAAATGCCGTTTTTAACCAACAGCAGCACTTGATAGAGATCCACCTGATACAAGTGTTCCTGAAGCAGAAGCAGTGACAGTTTTATCAGATCTGCCGCCTCCGTCTCTCTTGTGGGAGATCGTTAACTGAAAGTAATGGATGTTGTTCAGGAGAGAGACGGTTCCAGCTGAGTTACAATCCTGCAGCAGAAACAGACGCATTAATGTCTCAATCAGCCTGCATCCCTAATAACAGACACAAAAAAAAGCGTCTATATTTGATATTTTTATAATAAAATCGTATCATCATTCATCAGCGTGAAAGGAAAAGAATTATCACCTGAATCTGCAGCTCCCTGCGGCTTTACTGACCTTTAAAGCTCGTTTCAGCTCATTGTTTGGATGTCTGGCCTCAACTTTATTGTTCTGGTTCACTCTCGTGTTATTTCTGGCTGCAGGCAGCGAAACAAACCCCTAAAAACTCTCCGTACACTACCTGTTCAGCACTAAATGTCACACAGACAACATGAGAGACTAACTGGCGAACGTATGGAGCATTTAAAGAGATGGATGTTTCCTTCAGTAGTTGGTGGAGACCAAAATCAGAGCTAAAAGACAGTAAATACTGTACTTTTAAGTGTTCAGGTGCTCTGTTGCAACTGTAATGACACCCAACACTGATGTCACAGGCTCCTGGAGTACACCTGTACATCACTGCAGCAAGGAGAGTAATTGAACCACTGGAGATAAAACAAGGTTTTCAGAGTTAAATTACTGTTGAATTTCTCCCACAGGGAATCAATAAAGGAACATCTTATCTTATCTTTGTTGTGAGTGAAGCCTTAAAAATATATTTCTTAAAAATCAGCTTACAAATTATCCGACATTTGTTTTGCTTTTAATTTAATTTTAATACTTTCTGGACAGTTTCATCTCTGGACCGTCTGATGGTAAAATGTCTGTTGACACATTAAATGCGATGTGTTTGATTAAATTAATTAATTTATTTAAATTATTGTGATAGTTATTGACAGTATGATCCTCATCATCTTCCTCATCTTCCTCCTGCAGGGAGCGGTACCAGCTGCGCGAGGCTCGAAGGATCCGCGACCTGGATCGGGTCCTGCTGGGGTACCAGACGTACCCTCAGGCTCTGACCCTGGTGTTCGATGACCTGCCCGGCCCCGACCTGCTCTGCCACCTCACCATGGACCACTTTGCCGCCGGAGGGGAGGAGGCCACGCCCAGAGGGGGCGGGGCCAGCGGGGGCGCAGAGGGCGAGGTCCAGTGGTGCGTCTTCGTCCCGGGAGCCGACAGCAGAGAGCGGCTGATCTCGCTCCTCGCTCGCCAGTGGGAGGCGCTGTGCAGCCGGGAGCTTCCTGTCGAGCTCACCGGCTGATCGGTCGGTGAGGATGACGGACGGATGCGTGACTGTTCAGCACCTCGCTGGTCGTTGGGAGCTGAAGGAGGCGCCGAGGAGGGACCAAGATCATATACACACGAATTCAGGGCACGATTGGCGGTTTCTATCCACTCTGAGAGGACGAGAGGCGAGGAAAGCAACGACGCACACTTTCAGTCTCTCCTCGAAGGCGTTTACAGTGTTTAAAGTTGTGTGAAGAAAGACAACACCTTCACGCACCTCGCCAGTCGCACAGCATGTGATATGTTTGTGATTTGAGCAGCTGTCTGTGGAGCTTTCTCCCAGTCAGCACGCCAGAGGAACCCAATAGAGGAGTTAGAGGAGAAAATGGAGGAGGGGTCCTGTTCATATTGTGTTGTGACAAACAGACGTCAGGTTAAACCTCATATGACGCGTTGTAAGTGCGACTGACTGCCGAAATAATGGGAGTTTCTGGCACAACCTCACTTTCTTCCCAAGTGTCTCACACGGGGCAGATTTACTTTATTTGGTGGATGACTTTATTGACAGACAGACAGACAGACAGACAGACAGACAGACAGACAGACAGACAGACAGACAGACAGACGTTGCACAGCAGGGGGCGCTGCAGACAGTCCACAGGAGTTCTACTAGATTTTAATCGACATTACCTTTAAAGGAACAGCTGGTCATTTCCTCTTGTTCTCTCCAGAGTCACATTAAAGAAGATCAGTTTCGTGTGTGTGTGTGTGTGTGTGCGTGTGTGTGTGTGTGTGTGTGTGTGTTAGCCTAGCTTAGCACAAAGACTGGAAGCAGGGGGGAACTGCTAGCCTAGCTCCATTTAAAAGAGAAGGGGAAAAATATCCACAAACGACTCCAAAGCTGTTCTGATTTACATGTTTGTTATTTATGTAAAGTTGCTCTTAAAACCAAAAAGAAAATCACTTTTATATGTTTCCATTTTGTACATTTGTGCAGTCTGACTCTGGGTGAGGCGACGAGAGGATGTCCTGACATGTTGTTTTAAGTAAAACACACACACACACACACACACACACACACACACACACACACACACACACACACACTCTGCTGCTCGGCACAATCTGCTCTCTGAACATTTTATTCCTTGCACATTAATGTAATTAAGCAGTATTACTGAACTGTATATTGTTATTAATATTATATTAATATAATTGTTGCTTTGGGACGGATTATTTTCCATCCTGAAGACGATTTTTGTACCAAACACGAAGGTCCTGAAGATATTTCTAACACGAACTCTGAAATGTCATATTTAGTATTATCATTGAGTATTATTTTTTTTATATTTTATTTGTTTTATTTTATTGTATGTTACGTTGTTTCGTACATTATTATCTAGAACATGGGAAGCCAGCCAGTGTTGGAGCCCCCCCCCACCCTTCACCACTGTTGTTTACCTTACATGTTGTTGTTGTCTTGTTGACGGGGAGTGCCACTGAAACCAAGTGAAAATTAAAACATGTACCAAAACAAAAATTCCCCTTTTCTTCTTCGGCAGCAGCGTTAAACCGCAGTCTGAACTCTTTTCAGCTGATGCAGCAGTTACACCAGAAACTAAAAAAAAATCTGACAGTTGGCCCAAGAAGATGTGAGTCACCTCCAGATTTCTGTGGAAATATTAACTGACAACAGGGTGGACACAGTCGAATCTCACATGTATTAAGAAATCTTAAAGTGGCGCCTGTAACGGCTCTGTGAAGGCCAGTCTAATGGGTGCAAACTCACGTTCTTTGTAGGTTTCTTTGCTACGTAAACGACCATATTTCTTCTGGTAAACCTTAAATTTTTATGACATAGGATGAAAAAATTGCAGTTTGCTTAATTAGTTGTTTGGTATCTCTTAAAGCTGTGGGTCGGGACCCCCACTAGGGGTCGGCAGAGCTTCACAGGGGGTTGATTTTAAGGCGTGTAAGAAAACTTAAAATATATACGTACATATGTTTCTGTGAAGAAAACTAAATGTAGAAAAGTCTAATAAAACAGTGGCCAAGTGTCAAGAAAACACGGAATTTGTCAAAAACAAACTATTAAATCTGTATGATTGTTGAAGATTATAAAAAAAAATACATAATACAGACAGAAGATTTTATACAAAGTTTCCTACACAGGAAATAATCTCGTTTTATACAAACTTCTTGCTGAGTTCACTGTTTGCGTTCATTGTGCAGTTTTTAATATAATATGAAATATCTATACAATATGTCACTGAGTCAGTTTAATAAAGGATAGAAAAAGGGCCTCTTAAGGAAAAAGGTTGGTAACCTGTGATTTTCAGGTCCAGTGTGTAACATTCAGGATTTGGCAGAAATATAATATAATATAATGGTAATGTTTCCATTAGTGTAAAATCAATGAGACCAGATCCTGTGAGAAGATTTTGACTACTGAGACTTCAGGTACATGTTGAATGATGTGTTTCAATATTTTCTTCCAATATTATTTCATGAAGGACAACCTTTGTGTCGCAGGAACCACTGACGACACTGAAAATGCTTCTGTGAGTTTGAGCTTTTTATTAACCTTCATCCATTTTACATCCAGTGAAAACACTTAAAGCTGGACTCCAATATTTATCCATTTATTTAAACTATAATATTCAGCATTCCCACATTAAAGTGTCTATAAACGGTAAAATAAGTGTTATATATGTAGCCGAGTTATGTGCTTTACATTATCCCAAATGTTTCCAACAATGTTCAAACTCAAAACTCCCATGATCCCACGCTGCATTCAGGACGTCACCGAGCTTTGTCTTTTGTTGTTGTTTTTGATTGTTGTTTTGGCGTTCAGACTTTAAATATTAAAACACTTCAGTTTCCTGAAAAGAGGTTTTTTCTCAACCGGTTGTGGCCGGGTTGAGAAAAACAAAAACTTTGTGTCAGCAGTTCTTGGTTCTCGCCGCTCTGTGAGGTTTTGATGACTTGGCGGGTTCAGCAGCACAGAACGCACCGCCACCTTTCAACCCATTCAACTTCCTCTATTTCCTGTCTGTCGGAGCAGCTCATCATGAAATTCCGCTGATTTCCTTTTTTAGGGAGACTTTCACAGACCGAGGGCAGAGATACTGTACCAGGAAGTGTCTGATCAGCAAAACTCAACAACTGACCTCTGATTGGTGTTTTCTGGATCCCAGCAGGTCAACGGACCAATCGGGAAGAATCTCAGCTTTAAAGTGAGGAAAAAAAACAAATAAACTGATTAAATCACCTGAAACAGTTTCCTGTTTGTATCAAGATAAGATAAATTAGACTTTATTGATCGCATTTACTCACTACAGCAGCTCCAGATTAGAAAATACGCATGAAATTAAATAGAAAAAATAAAAGATGTAATGAAAATAGAAACGCTATACACAGATTTTTATATGCGGATTTGACTGATAAGGAATTAAACTCAACATATTTTAATTTAATATGGTTGAAAATTGACCTGTTGATCAAATGGATCGATTCTGATGTAGAATCAGTAATATTATTTTCTGATGCACACAAAACAATCAACTCATGTAGGTTATATTCTCTTCTACTATGTGAATTTTCATGCATATTCAGATGCAAAATAACATTTTCTGCTCTTAAAATTGGAAATATATATGATTTCCTCGACGTATTATTTATTCTGTGAGTGCTGTCTTGTATAAAATGGCATCTCAGTGCCTCCATACAAAGTTACTGACAGCAACTGAAGGTCTTCAGGGGTTCAGAAATATTGAACCCAACCTGAAAATGAGTTTGTTTTGGCAATTGAACTTGAAGTAGCATAAACTTTACTAAAGGATAAAGTTCAATTAGCAGCTTTGTTCAGGTTATTTAACGGTCCAGTTTAGTTTCTTTGATTCAAGTTTGGTTTAACAGGTTCGATGGTCCAAACAGTGGCTCTATACAGGGTCTTTCACTGGTTCTTCCACAGCTCTGGGTTTACTAACGGTCCAGATTAGCAGCAAAGAGGTTTTTTTTTTAATCAGATTATTTAATCGTCCAGTTCAGCAGAAAGTCTTTAATCCGGTTAATCTAACATTTAACTTTAGCAGCTAAAAAAGGTTTGACTCAAGTCGAGTTTAACAAATCTTTGGTTGTTTAACGGTTCTAATGGTTCTTGTGAGCAGACGGTTCAGTGCAGCAGGGAAGTATTACACTAAAGAAAGGTCTGCAGCATTTAATAAAACCCTGTCGTGGATTCAGGTTCAGAAGTAAAAACAGCTTCGTTCCAGCAGCTCTCAACAAACTGTAGTAACATGACAGAGTTTCTACAGTTTTTACCCTTTTTATTCTAGTGGTTGTTTATCTTAGTGTTTTATTTATTGATCTCTCTTTGTAAGTCCTGATTTTTAGAACCTGGAGCACTTTTATCTTTATCCTTTATCATGTTTGTATTTGCTGCAGACTATAAAGAGAAGAAAAACAATCTTTGTGGATAAAGACGATTGATTTAACTTTATTTCCATTTGTTGTCCTGATTGTTCCCCCGTTAAAACCACTGATAAACTCCATATATTCATTTAACTGGGAGGTTTTCCGGATAGTCTGTCGAACACAGTTAAAGTCTCCTTTGATAAACAGCAGAAAGGGAACACCGTGAGGGATGTGACACTGATAGTAAATCCTTTCTCACTTCCTCTTATCTTTCATGGTTTTTTCTTGTCTGTTCGGCTGTTTTCCGGCTCAGAGTGCTGATTGGAGGGATTTGTTGAGGTCGAGACGGCCATCGGGACGCAGGTCGAGAGACATCCATGATCTCAGACTCAGGCCCCTCTCTCTCTCTCTCTTTTCACTCCTTGATTCATGTTTTTCTCACTTTTTCAGGAGTCAGCAGTGAGTTACTTGTGTGTGTGTGTGTGTGTGTGTGTGTGTGTGTGTGTGTGTGTGTGTGTGTGTGTGTGTAGGTGTCATTACGCAACGTTCAGAGATTACAATTATCATGGCGTCCTTCACACAGTGTTTTAGTTCATTTATCTGGTTCTTAATCCGCCTCAGACCTCATCACAAAAGTCAAAGAGTAAAATAAACACACAATATCAGCCGGTGAGCAGCACACAGGGACAGACTTTATCTCAAACTACTGATAATAACATATAAATAATATGAATTAAACCTTGTACTGTCCAACAGTAAAACCTCTTCCTCTCATGTCAGTCTGCACTCATTATAAAATACAAACTTTGTGTAAAACTGACAACATTTTATCTATTTTAAAGTAAACGTAACGTTCTTCTTAGAGCCAGTACTTTGGAACAGATCAGTGGTTCCCAACCTGGGGGTCAGGACCCTCCACTAGGGGTTGTCAAAGCTCCACAGGGGGGTCGCCAGGCCTTCTTGATTTTAAGGGGTTTAATAACACTTATAAACTTAAAGCCTTCACTCTCTAGTAAACTGCCTCGTCCTGCATTAGAAAGCTGCGCAGTTAAAAGTATCAGAGACACAGAAAACAGAAGCCTTTAAGTCTATTCTGTCTAAGTATTATTATATATCAAACAAAAACACATAATACAGACAGATAATGGTACAAAAAAAGAATTTGCCAGTGGGCCATATAATTTATTTTAAACTGATTTAAATCCTGAAGGTGTGTTCAGACCACAGACTGTATAATTAAAAATGGATCGCCATCTCCCGGCCAGTCCAAAAATATGCAAAGACGTGACGGCACCTACCTGTCGCTCAAAGCAGCCACCCCATTATTTATGCATCACTTTAAGCTTTAATATAATTTAACCAGGTGAGTTATACAAACATTCATCCTCTGTACAGTTGTCGTGAATGGGGATTGTAACTATAGAGCCTGAATCAGTTATTTGTACCAGGCTGTAAACATGTTTATTTCTGCTGTAAAGTTTAGTATAAGCATTTTAATAAGGGGCCTTATGGAGGTTGACTCACTGCTGGAACCTCTAGTGGCCGTTTGGGGAACTGCAGACTGATTTTAAAGGACACATATAAAGTCAGTAACGGCACAAATTGCAGTAAAGACGTGATCATGTGAGTTCAGAGAAATGAGCTGAGCAGGAAGGTTGCTGGTTAAAATCTCCTGCTGAAGAGCCAGTGAGCAAGGCAGTAAACCCCCGGAGTGCACTGCAGCAGTCCATTGTCTGCCTGCTTCCTGCTATTGTTCTGCCAGCTTGCAGTTTAACCTCTGACCCCTACCTCTGGTCAGACCCACGTCTGTCATGTTTTCATCAAGTCCGAACCAAATTAAAACAGGAAAGAAACAGTTTTCACATTTGTTCCTTTTTATTCCGAGAAGCAGACGAGGAGTTTGTGTCAGCTGACGAGGAAATCCGTCCAAATCTCACCGCCCCGCTGGGACGACCAGGAGGGGAAATCCGCCTTAAACTTCCTGTCAGGAAGAGCGTTGGATTTCTCACAATCTCTCTCTCTTTCTCTCTTCTCAGACAGACCTTATAGCTGGAGGCCAGAGTATTATAAAGGCTTCTGCTATTATAATTATTTAGTGGTAGAGATTAAAGTGTTTTCTGTTTT